TCCCAGGTTTTTATTGAAATTAATAACTGTAAATTAATTAACATTATTGTTTTGAAATTAATAATTCTTAGTCATAATTATTGTTAATAAATCTGAATAAAGGCAAATGAAAGAATAAAAAAATAGTAATAAATAATTAATAAATATAATGAATATGAATAATGAACATATGTTATTGTTTCCATGCTCATACATATAAATGACTATTTTTTTCGCCAATTTAATATTATTTTGTTATGTTTTTCAACAGACTGTAAACTTTCAATGAAATATTAATCACTGATATATTCAAATGTACATCGAAAATGTTAGTAATAAATCTAAAGTCTAAAATATCCATAAAGATGAATGAGTGAACTATGGTTATAAGAAGGTCGATAGACTCTAATGAAAGGAGGAAATAGTTTTGAAGTAGTTCTCATTTACTTTGATTTATAATAATCCAAATTAGCTATTGCGTTTTGTATTGTGTGATATTAAGCACGAAATGAACTTTAATTAATTATATATTTTACATTTTGTCCGATGACCTTTTGCAATCTTTCTGGTAACTTCATGATTCCGCGTTCATAGAACTTCTAATCCTTATCAAAAAACTGATCCTAGTGCAATTTCAGATCATCGTTATTAGTGACATTTTTACCATTTAAAAAGTTTTGTAAACTTCGACACAAATGGTAATCTGATTGTGCAAGATCAGTCAGGGGGGGGGGTCTTCAATATATTTATTTTATTTCTGTTTACATTTTAAATGATACTTGAAAGATTAAGAACAAACATAATTGTTTCCGAATCATAAGTTTGTTGCAGTATTTTTCGTTTTTTTTTTTAATTTAAGATTTGCAGTAGCTTTGTGATCCTATACATTTGGATGTAAGTTTGAATTAATATGTATTATAGAAGATCTAAAAATCGTCGTTTTTTTAAATTAATTTCTCTAAATTTACAATAAATTATTGACAACTCAAAGATTCAAATTATACTTTATAAGGTTATCATGCAGATTAAGTAATTAATTAACTATAGTTAAAAGAAAGCCCTATGAAAGTAAGAAATACTGCTAAAACATACATTTTTTGTCAAGTTTAACAAAAAAGGTCTTCATCTTGCTACTTTATGCCTAGTGCAAATTATAATTTTCAAAGAAATGTTCAGGAAAGAGGAAATACAACTTTTTTTAATTACATTTTTTTGATCTTAAGAGCTAATATTATGATTTTTCCTATAAAGTATATTTACACTTAAACAAATTTTTCAGGAACTAAAGCAGGTTTAAGTCTATATTTATATATTCATCAATAAATGATTAATAAATTAATGAATTACGGGTTGATATTTTGATATTTTAAAAATAGTACTTATGTACTTTTATTTATAATTAATTAATAAATTATATTTAAAGATCATAATTATTTGTTAGTATTTTTTTGTGGGTTTTGCAGTGGTATCGGTGATCCTGTAAAGTTGGATGCCCTTTCGTCACTAATAGACGACGATTGCCCTGCGGTCCATGTGTGCGACACGAGACAGATGTCGTTGGGCTCGTGAAAAATTGCCATCATCAATTATACGCCCATCTGCGGCTCGCACCGAATATATAGATATATATCTGTATCTGTGTATAAAAACATCTTTCTTTCTTTCACGTCTGTCTTTCCGTGTCTTCTTGGCTTTTTTTTTATTACAGTTACCCTCCGTCGTCTCAGTTTCGCGAAACCAGAACTCTTCAGTACAATAAACTACAAACACCCGGAGATTCAAATTTCCCAACTTTATGTTCTGACATCTCAAATACAGATGTTCTTGCCTTTGTCTTTCAGTACTTAATGTTATGCAATTCTGACAAACCATGAATGAGTTTCAGTATAAACTGAGTCTACATTTCTTTAAATTACATTGACAAATATTTTTCATTGACAATTTTAATTAGAATTGTTAATTTATTTTGTAACTATAATATTATTTGTAACTATAATATATGTGTTTGTTGGAAGTACACAATGCTTCGATCAGTACGGTTTCACACAGTACAATTTGAAAATTTTAATTGAGAAAAAAAAATAGTAAACAAAATTATTATAAATTATATTTTTTTTTTTCAAATCTTTCATGCGATTTTAAAGTCCTCGATTAGTGCGATCTCAAGCAGTGCTGGATATTGACCGCACTATACGAGGTATTCCCATAATTGAACAAACAATGATCATGTTTTGTTACTTAAGTAACGTAATTATTGTTTGCTTTTCAATCAAAAATGTTCCCTAATTTATTATCACCAAACAAACAAACTAATTGCGAATTGATGTAAGTGGATATGACTTAAGTCAATGAATTTATTTCTATGAAAATTTTGTTTACACTTTCAATGCAAATTGCTGAATTCGTTATCATTTTTTATAATACTACTAAATTAAAATATACAGCGTTGTTGTTTTTCTTTCTTTACATACACGTGGATTTTAAAGCATTTTACATGAGTTAAGCAAGAATTAAGAATGAACTGGTAATAAATGCAAATTACTATTATCAATTAAGCAGATGAAAAAAAAAAGAAAAAAATGTCAATGCAAATTGAGACAATAAAACAACAACAGCAACTAACAACATTCTTGAAGATAATATGGTAATTAATGTTAATCCACATGAACATTGTCGGATCGATTTAATGTCATACCTAACTCATATAATAATTTTACTAATACTAAAAAAAAAGATGTGTTTGAATATTATCGAGTTTTCCACGTGGCAGTGTTTTGGAACGTATTTATATTAGGAAATTCGAGTTTACTAAAAAAATTGTAATGATTGTTATATTACTTTTATATATATAATTAATAAATTCATTAAAGTACAATATTTGGATATTGATCAGTAAACTATTAACTTTTTAGTAAGAAATGATGAAAGAAACTTACAATAAACGAGAGAAATTAAGTTACTTCAAATATATTGAAACGAAATTTTTATAAAGATAAAAGTTTTTTTAATATTTGAAACTTAAGAAAACTACAATTCGATTTAGGAAAGATTGAGGAAGTTAATATATTTGTAAACAGCTTCAAATACTGAAACCATTAAAACATAAGATTTCAATTAGATTTTAATTAATTAATTAATATCAGATGAAATTGAATGGAAAATGAAAGCATTAGAATGAAGAAATTATTTATATTTCTAGTATCATTTCATTGCCTTTTTTTGGAAAATGTAGATAAAAATTCAAATGCACACGATAATTTATAAATTTATTATTTATTAAGAAAACTACAATTATATCTAAGAAATACATACAAATTTAAATTATTTGTTAACAGCTTCAAAGACTGAAACGATTCAAATATAAAATGTGTAGAATTGAATGAATAAATAAATAAGATTAATTTGAACGTTAACGTAATTTTTTTAATATATTATCATAAATTTTTAACTAAAAAATAAAATTAATAATGTAAATAATAAAAGACTTTAAACTTACAGATTTTTATTTACATTGAAGATATTATAATTACATTGTCACGTTAGATGAAGACATCTACTTCAAATTTTCATTGCTGAAAGTCCTCAATACCCTTAAGAATTTACTTCTACCCCATTCGGGGTAATTTACCCCTAGCTGAGTGACATGGCATGTGTGGACCAACTAATGGAAGTAGTTACAAAATCGTGGTAGTAATTTACTACGGTTTTTCGATATCTGGTTTAGAATACAATTTTCATTGCTGAAAGTCCTCAATACCCTTAAGAATTTACTTCTACCCCTTTCGGGGTAATTTACTTTACTATATTTATTTATTTAAGTAGTCATAAAAGCGTGGTAATAATTTAACCCGGTTCTTCGATATCTGTTTTTTAATACAATTTTTTGATATTTTATCATACAATTCATTTAAAAAAATAGTATAATAGGAAATATTTGATAGTTTTGAATATAATTTTCGGTTCATGTATATTATTATATTATTAATCTTCCACATATGTAGTGAAAAGTTAATGGCAAAACTACAGAATAGAAATTAAATTTGATTTGATTTCAATTCATTAATTGGATAGTTTATGAATGTATTATTATTTTAACAAATTTATAATATTCTATAATACTATTAGAGAAGAGAACAATTTGAGACACTTGAGTAAAGAAAGTGAAATCGGTTTCAAATTTATTTTGACTTTTCTACTGTATAGTTTACTATTGCTTTATGACGTTTATATTTAAAAAAATGAAAGTTGGAATAGATGAGGACATTGGTGGACATTTGATAGACAGAAATGAGAATGGACTAAAAATAGTTGTAAATTATGAATATATGACTTCAACTTCTATTGGATTTCAATTTGTTAATGCATAGTTTAGTTTATAACTTTTAATCGTTTTATTACGTCTATATTAATATTAAAAAATAAGTGAATAGAAACCAGAAATAGTAAAATTTAGAATGGATGAGGAAATCTGATTCGAAGCATTGATTTCGATTCGTTTATTGGATATAGTGGATAATAGTTTGCTTTTGTACTTTTTGGTCGCACATATAAATGTATACATAAAAAAATTTAAATACGCACATAAAAACGAGCGAAGTCAATTAAGTACTAAGTGTATTTCTAAGTAACAGGGAGTGAATTCGCAATAAAACGGGCCCGGCGCCGGTTCGACAGGCATTCCTGGACCGGGTCGACGGTAAATTGCGCCCATAAATCGGGTGCCTCGACCAGAGAAGAAGGACCCGAACCGTTGAGGACACCCAAAAGAAAGAGACGAAGACGACGACAAAACACGGCAACAACCAAACAACAACAACAACAAAAAAAAGACAAACACACACTCACTGTGAGAAAGAGATGCCAACCACATACAACATAAATAAGTCTATATATATATATATAGATTTATATATGGGTGTGTGTGAAGGTCGTGATGGCAAGGGCGGCTCCCCCTTAAGAAAAAAAGGGGGAACTCCAGGCGCGTGCCCACCGATAACCGAAAATCAATTATTCCTCATTACCTTTATCGCCAGATGATGATGATGATTATATCATTGGTTGACTTCCTCTCCCCTTCGGAAAGCAAACGATGGACACACCCTTGTTACACCCCCTGACCGAAAAAAAAGAAGAAATAAATACAACGTTACACAATCATCGTAATTATAGGTTTTTATTATATAATGGAAGCGAGAAGAAGAACGCCCATCGCTAATAGCACAATTCTTTCGGCACGTCATTGAATCCATCACCAAATCCATTATCACACGCATACACAGATAATTAATATTGACGCCACCACTACTACTTAAATAGCTTGACTAATTATGAAATTATCTTTTATGCAATTAACATGAAATTATTGTTTTTTTTTAAATTAATATTGATAGTTTTATATAATATTTAGAAAATATTTCTATTTTAGATTTCTTTGCTATTATTTTGCCAACAGTTTTATTTAAGGCTTATGAACTATTATTGTTTTTTTTATATTTAATAGTGATAATTTTCTATTAATCTTTCGAAAATAGTTGTATTATGATTATTGTTTGTTAAAATTTTTAAAATATGAACAATTTTTTTATGAACTTTTTTTTAATAAATGAAATTAATGATTTTTATTTATTGAAGTACGAAGAAGTAAGTTTTTGTTTTCAAAATAAATGTAAATATTAAAATGACTCTTAGAATGATGAGTCAGGCTTCAGTAATTTCCAAAGTTCTGTAAACTAATCACTTTTATGGACTTACGTATCATTTTCTAATGATAACTTATCTTTATGTCAACATGTGGAAGCTGTGTTTTATTATCACTTATCATATAACTGGGGTTTCTTGATAATCATTATATATTCGTTGATGTTGATTTGTTTATTAAAATATAGAAAATTAATACATGTTACAAAAAGCTATTGATCATACATAGATCATTGCGCACTTGCTATAAATTTATAAATTTAAATTGACCGAATTAATCTATGTTCCAAATTATGTGTTTTTTTTTAATATAATTTAATGAAGTTATCACATATTATACAATTGTCTTAATTAGAATGTTTAGAAGAAAAACTATTAAGTTTATATAGATTAATGTCATGCGTATTAATCTACAAATACAATTTATGTAAAAAAAAATCCAAAAATGAAGTAAAAACATGACAAAAATCTTCAAACAAACTAAAGCAGAATTATTTAAAAGACATTTGCAAGCTTTTTATATTATAATTTTCAATGTAATAAATGTTGAATTGGAAATAATAACTTTTTTTTAGAACGAAAAGTCTTTTGTATGTTTGTATGAGCATATATTTAATACATTATGTTTAATTATTTGTTATTAACACTAGATTTATATTTTTATTATTATCACATTTATTAACATGTTAAGGACGGCGCAATTCGATTTGCCTGCTGCGAGAAAATTCTTCGTGAACGTCTATGGACTGATTGAAAAGTTACATATCTTACGTAAAAAAACTTAAATTTTAACATTTTTGAATAATTTTTAAACAGTTTATAACAATTGTAAGAAATATGTCTGGATATTTATGCCGTCTTCAATAAATATATGAATTCTAATGAAACATAAAAATATATGACTTATATAAACTGCCCTCAATATTGAATATATTTGAAGGTTTATTTTATATTAGAAAATGTCATTAAATGATAGTAGTTTGTCATTGATTATAATACAACTAAAAATAACAATATTCAATAGTTAAACAGCGGATCTCAACCTATGGGTTGTGACATAATATTTGATCGCGTTAAATTTTTATGGATCGTGAAATGACAGCTGTCATCTTGTGTCAAAGCAAGGAACTGATAAAAATGTACATTTTTAATTGATCGCAAAATGACAGCTATCAGCATGTATCAAGTTGAGGACCTGACGAAATACTCTTAGCAATTAGGTCGCACTACAATTACAAACAAATATGTTGGCAAAAAGGTTGAGAAACGCTGAATATCTGTTACATTTTTTAATATATTTATTACGCTTAAACAACGAAATTCCAGGACGTTTTCAGCTTAAAACTTTTAATATATATTTCCTATAGTTTTTTTTTTCTTCTACTTTTTCTCCTCTTCGTCTTCGTTCCGTCTGTCAAGGGGGTGTTTTTGAAGGGCGTATCTAATCTCGGATCGGTTTTCTGGAGTAAACAATAAACTGTCAATGGCTGGCGCCTGTGGTAAGGATACCTGACACAGGTAATAGTCCCCCCCTGGTGCAGAATCAATTACCACCGGAAGTAGCTTTCGACTTTGGCTAATAACCCGGAGCCCTCCTTCGATACCATCAAGTACGAAGAGAAGAATGAAAGAAAGAAGAAAAAAAAAACGGTCATTCATTAATTGGTAGAATTTCACGGTCGAACTTTCACTCGAAATGTACTGTTTTTTCTTTCTTCTCTCGTTTAGTTTCGTCCTTCTCTTAAGTAAAAAATAAAATAAATGAGACAATGGTATTGGAATGCGTGCACTTTTAGGAAGTGGACTCCTTTCATTCATCGTTCATCATTTTCTGGGAAGCGAAAACCGATTGTTTGACTACTTTTTTGGACTGTTGCATACGAACGTCCGCATGGTATTAATCACTTTTCGTTCTGCAGATAACTTTATCTTCGTCCGAGGATAACGCCAACAGTTTTCAACGCCCACCGTTCGATAACGTTTTGTATGCATAAAATAAGTAAATATTTTTTACTCAACGTTATATGTATATTGTTTTATTCTAATTTATTTAAATTTACACTTGGAATTTGCGAGGAAAATGGAAAATATTATTAATTTTAATGTTTAATTACTACTAGTAAAACTATTAATTAATGTAACTACGGACAAATAAATAAATAATACAAAAGTACCATTGTGGGTCAAAATGACCTGTTTATTAAACATCAAATTATTGATATTTACAACAAACACAGATTAATTCTTATCATTTAATTAATTTAACATCATTTAAACTATGTTTTTTTAGCAAAAAGTTCACTAGAAAATACTGAAATAGCTAGAAGGTCAACCTCCGCAGTTAAATTACAATAGAATACGAATGAAAACACATATCAGGTTGGTCACTCTGACCCATTCGTGGTACTTAGGTATTAGAATTTATACTTAAATTAAAATTGAGAATGTTTACTACTAAATCCGTATTTTTACTTATATGATAACTACAAGCAAACAGATTAACATATAAGTTGTCCATAATCTATAACATTGTTAACATCATTTTGTGTGTCTCAGATCAGAATAGTTAAGAGGAGAATGTAGTAAGCCACGTTTATATAGTGGACGAGTTACCATTTCCATTCAACGTTGTTTTCAAATGTGTTGCCATTTTCTTCCTTCAAGCTAATGATTCCAAACACGCTACAGCAGGTGCGCCTTTTAATAAGTATAAGTATAACCAGTCCAACGTTTAATTTAACAGACATTTCAAGAATTCCTATCTATTTAGACCACTTCGCACGTAATTTGTTTAAAATGATGAATCCGATATACTGGAAATTATGCAGATTTAAAAAATCTCTTCGTTAGGATGTTTTCCTATCCATTAACTATGAGATTCTTCAGTTATGAAAATTCATTTAATTTGATTGTTCTTTAAAAGAAATAAGTATTAGTCACCCGTTCGTTGCTTAACTTTTGTTAGATTACATTATTGATTTTCAAGTGGTGTGTTTTGCGAGGATTTGGGTATGCCACAGGTTCAAGTCTTGACACAATAAAGATTAAAAAAAGATGTTCATATTTTAACAGTACTTTAACATATATAACAAAGTTTGTTGAATATTAAATTTGAAACAACAAAAAGTATTGATTACCCGTTCGTTGCTTAACTTTCGTGAGCTTAAATATTACACGTTCATGTTATTAAATTTACCTATGTTCGATTAATATAAGATATGGTTACCCATTCGTTGCCTAACTTTCGTAACAAATCATAAACTTTTATTTAATATTAGATTTCAGATATCAAAAAGTATTGAACACTTATTTGTTGCTTGGATTTCTTAAACTCAAATATTAAACTTTCATTTAAGCTTTAAAACTACTTTATCAAATATATCAATATTCCATTAACTTAACTTTGGAAAGCTTAAAAATTAAATGTTAATTTTAAACATTATAATCAATTTATTGCTTAACTTTTGCAAGTTGAAATACTTTATTTTTTGAATAATATACCGGACTGATTAAAACTGGACTAATTGAGGAACTAGAGAAAAAGAGACTAGAGCCTAATTGAGAAACTCAATTAGTCCAGTTTCAAACAGTCCGGTTAATTGTAATTACATTTCAACTTATTTTCTATTATTTGATTAGTGTTTGTATGCTTGTAACGAAATTATAACGAATTTTGAATGAATTATTGAAAAACCTTGAACCCCCATATCTGACCATTAGATTGCCACAACGCGAGGATACGAAACCAACAATTGTAATTAAGTTGTAACCCATTTTATTTTATCAAAGAATAATGTAAATTTAGTTTTTTTAGTATAAATATTTACAAAGAAAACAATAAATTCTTTAATGGAATAAAAATCATATTTAAATCCGATCCTTATTTAGGTGGAGACATAATGTTTAACCTGTGAATTTTCATTTTTTTTTTTTACAAATCTATACTAAATTTTTATAGTTTTTTTTTTATATTTTTTGTAAATTCAAAACGTCTTTTTTAACAATTGATTTGTTTTCATGTCTGCTTGTGTTAGCTTATTATTAAATTATTGCATAAAAACAGCAAGGTGATAGTATTTATAAACAATCAGTAGTGAAATTCTAAAATGTAAAGGTTGTTCTGAATCACATTTGAGTTTTTGTTCGGAAAACGAATTGTACGAGAACCGAGGTTTCAATATAAATTTTTTGTTATAAATTAAGTATGAAAATACCGTTGCAACAAGAGTTTCTAAAAATTGCAAATACATCTTGTACATTACTACACATAAATAATCATTTTGAAGACATGCCTTTGCGGGGTATTCCATTTAATCGGTAATGCAAAAACCCTGTTCACCGACTCAATTGTTATACAGTTAGATAACGATAACAAAAGTAAAGGAACCCACTTAATTCGACGATTTATGGAGGCCG